AACAAGACTCACAATGTTACTGGGCCCGCTCAAGCAAATCGATGAACAACGGGAGGACAGTGACAGTGACAGTATGGGAATAACAAATGACCAAAGGCAGCAGAATCTAGAGAACTGAGCTTTCCAAGGGCAGGTGAGGGTAGACAGTACAGGGGAGAGGTTTTGGGAGGGAGGCCAAGACAATGGTGGAGGAAAACAGATACTTTGGTGGAGAATATGATGCTGGAACATTGTATGCATGGAACCCTATCATGAACAGTATTGTAACTCATGGTTCTTAATTACATGACTGAAACCCAATTATGAACAACTTTATAACTGTGCAACTCATGGTGATTCAATTAGAAAAGTAAATAATTTTTTTTTAAATATCCTGGTTCCTCTCTCCACGACATTGAAGCTAAAAACATCTTGAAGGATGAAACAGCACTGACCATGCAAGTGGAAGCAAACATAAACAAATGGAACTACATCAAACTAAGAAGCTTCTGCACTTCAAAAGAAACAGTGACTAAAATACAGAAAGAGCCTCCAGAATGGGAAAGAATATTTACCCAATGCCCATCTGATAAGGGATTAATATCCAGGATATACAAGACACTAGTAGAATTGTACAAGAAAAAACTTTGAACCCCATCAAAAAATGGGGAGAAGAAATGAACAGAAGTTTCCTAAAAAAGGAAATACAAATGGCCAAAAGACACATGAAAAAATGCTCCACATCGCTAGTCATGAGGGAGATGCAAATCAAAACAACAATGAGATATCATCTCATACCACAGAGATTGGAACACATTCAAAAGAACAAAAGCAACCAGTGCTGGCATGGATGTAGGGGAAAAGGGACATTCTTTCACTATAGGTGGAAATGCCAACTAGTCCAGCCTTTCTGGAAAATAATATGCACAGTCCTTCAAAAACTAGAAATTGAGCTTCCATATGACCCCGCAATACCTCTTCTGGGAATATATACCAAGGATGCAAAAAAGCACTGCAGAAATGACATCTGTACCTATATGTTCATAGCAGCACTATTCACAAGAGCCAAAATCTGGAAAAAACTCAAGTGCCCTAGAACAGATGACTGGTTAAAGAAACTTTGGTACATCTACACAATGGAGTACTATGCAGTGTCAGGAAAGATGAAGTCATGAACTTTGCTTATAAATGAATAGACATGGGGAGTATCATGCTAAGTGAAATGAGTCAGAAAGAGAGGGACAGACATAGAAGGACTGCACTCATTTGTGGAGTATAAAACAACATATCATGAGGCTGACTCCTAAGGACAGTAGATACACGGGACAGATAGATTGCTCCATAGCTGGAAGCTGGCCTCATGAGCAAAGTGGAGAAGGCAGCTGGAATAGAGAAGGGATCACTAAGAAAAAGATGGTTGGATAAATCAGTAGGGATGGGAGATGTGTGCAGAAAGTAGATAAAGGAGCAAATATGATAACCTCTCAGGGTCTGTATTGCAAATCATAATGCCCAAAAGTAGAGAGAGATTATGGGGAATCATATCTGCCATAGAAGCAGAGAGAGAGGGTGGGAAAGCGGAGGGTTTTACCAGGCATATTGGTGGAGGGGAATGTGCACTGGTGGAGGGATGGGTGTTTGATCATTGTGTGATTGTAACCCAAAAATGAAAGCTTATAACTATCTCACGGTGATTCAATAAAATTAATAAGAAAAAAATCCTGGTTCCTAAAGAAAAAAGAGCATGTTACTATAAGCAAATTATTTTTTAAAATTTTTAATAGTGATACATCATAAGGTACGGTTGCAGACTTATACATTTTTGTGCTTGGGCTTCAATTATACAATGTTCAAATACCCATCCCTCCACCAGTGCCCATTTCCCACCACCACGGATCCCAGTATCCCTCCCACCCCCATCCCCCCCCCCCATCCCACCCTGCCTCTGTGGCAGGGCATACCCTTTTGTTCTCTCTCTCTCTCTTATTGGGTGTTGTGGTTTGCAAAAGAGGCAATGGGTGACAATCATGTTTGGTCTATAGTCTACTTTCAGCATGCTTCTCCCATTCTGGGAGGATCCTCCCAACACCTTTATTTGGTGTTCCCTTCTCTATCTGAGCTCCCTTTCCCCCTAGCACATGTGGCTGGCCTCCAAGCCATGGAGTAAAATTCCTGGTACTAATCTCGGCCATTCTTGGGTGTTAGTCTCCTATTTTGTTACTTTATGTTCCCCAGATGAATGACTATATGCAAATTATTAATTTTATTTAAGTTCTCTAGATGACTCTAATGTACCATAGGAACAGAGAACTTTTATCTTAAACTAATGGGTTTTGAATTTTAGTAGTTTCATAATCATCTAGAGGACTAGTGAATTTTTTTCTCCTCAAATGTTTACTGAAAGCAATTCCTTCTCCAATTCTTTGACACCAACTGGATATCCAATATTTCAATTCTATTTCTGTTACTAGTGTAGATGCCACTGGCTACGGGCTCAGTTCCATATGACTGCCTCTCCTTTCAGACGCCAGCTGCAGTCGAATGCTTGGGCATCTACCTTCTGCCCAACTAACTCAGAGTGATTGAGATGCCCTTGGTCCACTCCCTGCCCTAGCTTTGATAGTTCGCTAGAATGACTTACTCACTGAGCATAAAAGATCTGTTTTATTTACAATTAGGGGCTTACTAGATGATACAAATCAGAATGATGCCCAATGAGAGGGATGCAGAGGATACAGGATGGGGGAGAAGAGCTCAGTTTCCATGTAGGTTTCCAGGGGACCACTCTTCTACCCCCTCAATATTTTCACCGACCGTGAAGATCTTCATATCCCATTGGTAGGGGTTTTTACGGCGGTTTCATTGTATAATTGATTGCCGTTGACCATTGGTGACATAAAATCAACCTCCAGTACTGCTTCAGTACCAGCAGGAGGAGTAGGAGTATGAATGGGAGTAGGAACAGGCGTAAGAGTAGGAGTAGAAATAGAAGTTTCAGGAGTGAGCCCTAAAGTTCTAACACTTGACCAAGGTTGGTTCCTCTTCCTCAAATAAAATGGCAACATTCTCTACTTGAAACTCCTGAATACTCAGTGGCTTTCTCAAAGAAGAACTACATCTAAGTAAAGAATAAAATAATTTGGAATCTCTAATGATGTTCTCAAAGAAAGTTTTCTAAATAAAGATTTATCAGAAAGATTGAATCTCTAATAGAGGAAGATTTCTAATAACTTGTCTAAAAAATGTTAGGATTTGGAGAGTATAATCCATTCATGTTTGTATATGTGCTTGTGAATGTAATTAAAATGTTGACTTGTGGAAATAGAAAATGCAGTATTTTTTTTTTGAGTCCCACCCAGTGACGCACAGGGATTATTCCTGGCTCATGCACTCAGGAATTACTGCTGGCCATGCAAAGAGGACCAATATGGTTATGCTGGGAATTGAACCCCGGTTGGCTGCATGCAAGGCAAAAGCCCTACCCCCCCCCCCCCCCCCCCCCGTGCTATCACTCCAGTCCCGAAAATGCAGTATCTTAAAGGTAAGTTTTGCTTTCATCCCCCGCCCTCCAAAACTACCAAGTAAACCATAAACCAACAAAGAAATAGAAAGTTAGATACAGCTGAAGTCCCGGTGTATTCTGAATGGAGCCTGGAAGCAGGGAAGAGCGGAATGGGTAGGGGGGGTGGGCTGGGATGGCGCCAGGCTATAAGGAAGAAGGATTGGGTTTTAGTATCTCCTCCTTGTCTCCAATTCAGTGTAAAATTTTGTGAAACGAAACATTGGAAACTTTAAGAATTCGTGTATTGACAGTGAAAACGTGCTCTTGTAAGAGTATGACCTTTCTGGAAGAAATGACAATGAGTTTATCAGAGGATGCCATACACAGTTAAGCGCTTTCCCACTGTGATAATTTCGGGAATCATATCATTTCACTCACCCTTTTCCATATAATTTAGATTTTTTGTTTGTTTGATTTTGTTTGGGATTTTTGGCTGCATCTGGCGGTGCTCAGGATTTACTCTTGGCTCTGTGCTCAGGGTTCTCTCCTGGCAGCGCTTGGCAAACCAGATGCAGTGCCAGGGGTCAAAATTGGGTCAGCCATGTGCAAGACAAGCTCCGAAACCCCTGCACTATCTCTTGGCCCTCCATTAGGATTATTTTTGAAAGGCAAGTGGCATATGAAGAAAGAGTGGCATGAGGAAATTCTTCTTTTCTTTAGAATGAGTCAGAGGATGATTAAATTTGATTGAATGTTCTGTTGAGAAAGAATTGCTCATAACTAAGTAAAATATTTACTCAAGTTTATTGATTCAAAGTTTCAGATACCCAAGGACAACAACAACAAAAAAGTGAAAACTTAATGCAAAAGATGTGGAGAAAAATAGTTTGTTGAAGCAAATATACAAAAGAATATAGCCAAATAACATCCCTTAACTGTTTTTCTGGAAAACTTTTGAGTGTTATTAGTTTTCATCAGTAACAAAAGTATTCGAGAGAGAGAAATTTTTAGAGTAGTATCACAGTCCACACAAGAGTTTCTAATTGAGGCTATTTTGTGTGTAGCCCTTGCTTCTTGTCACTCTTCTGAAGTTCCAAGATTTTCCCAGCCAGCTTTTTAAAATCTCTGCTGTAGACCTGCTTTTATAAGGGTATAAAATGATCAAAAAGCATTTCTTCCTTTTCTTTTTAATGCAAGACACAGTTCAGAGTTGAGATTTAAATTTCTTTCCCTTTTTTTCCCTAGGAAAACACGGAATTTAAACAATAGGTATATCATCAAAAGTAAGTAACTACCCTCAAAAAACTTTCCTTCCTGATGAATAAGAAAACATATTCCAAACATAAAAGGTATTATACTGTTAAAAGCTTAAATTGGCCCCATTAATGCCAGTAGGGTTATTCTTATAGTACTCTCATGTTTGCTTACATAAGGGAAGTTTGTTTTCTAGCAAAAGATTTAATCAATCACAAAAGTAAATGCCAGCACAAGAATTATTGGAGATATTGACTTGTATTCTCATGCTTGTTTATATGGGAAAAGTTCCTTTTCTTACAAATGATTTGCAAAAAACAAAAGAAAATCCCCAAAGCAAGGTGTCCTCGGTGGAAATATTGTCATTTGACATCCTTTTTCTTGGTCATTGAAGCTTGAGGAGCTGGAGTAGCATTTAGTCTACAAAACAAAACATGGCTATATTTAGAGAAAGACTTATCCCAAACTGCGGTTCCCTGCAGATATCAAGAAGGAATGGTATGAATACTAGTTTCCAGTTACAGAGATGCTGGAATGAGTAAGCACTAACTCTAGCTGGTAAGTGAAGAACAGGCATTTGACTTAGGAACTTCCCACAAATTTTCAAGACTCTAAATTTTGATGCCCAGGTAAATTGAAACCCTTCAGGACAAGGTACAAATAGGAATCCAAACCCTTGGTATGTATGACTTACTTCCGTAATCTTTTTGTTATTTGTTTTATCCAAGTGGCTTGAGGGTTTAAGCATATAGGGGATTTAGCTTTCCTCCGGAGTCTGGGGATAAAATAAGAAAGAAGAGTTACATTTTAGTCAATCACTTAAAAGTTGAGTCTGAAAATACAAATTTTATGACACCAGTACCTTTTATATCTTTGACATTAACCCCTTATCAGAAAGTTACTAGGTGAATAGCCTTTCCCATTCCGTAGGCTGTCTTTGTATCTTGGTTACCATTTCTTTTGAGGTGCAGAAGCTTCTTAGTTTAATATATTCCCATTTGTTTATTTCTGCTTTCACTTGCTGGGTCAGTGGTGTTTCATCTTTTAAAAAAGATGCCTTTCGCTTCAGTCACTTGGAGGGTTTTGCCTACGTTTTCCTCCACATATCTTATGGATTCAGGCCTTATATTGAAATCTTTAATCCATTTTGATCTGACTTTTGTGCATAGATGTCTGAATTAATTTTTTTCATATGCCCAATAGAAAAGAACATCCAATCCCATAAAAATTGGGACGAGAAAATGAACAGAAATTTCCTCAAAGAAGAAATTCAGATGGCAAAAAAAGGCACATAAAAAATGCTCTGTGTTACTAATCATCAGGGAGATGAGAATCAAAACAACAGTGAGATATCATCTCACACCACAGAGACTGGCATATATGCAGAAGAACACAAGCAACCAGTGTTGGCAAGGATATGAGAAGAAAGGGACTCTCCTTCATTGTTGGTGGGAATGCAGACTGGTCCAGTCTTTTTGGAAAACAGTAGTACATCCCTCAAAAAACTAAAAATTGAGCTCCATTTGACCTATCGATACTAATTCTGGGAATATACCCTAAGGGACAAAAACACATAATAGAAATGCCATCTTCTCTTTTATGTTCATTGTAGCTCTATTCACAATAGCCAGAATCTGGAAACAACCAAATTTCCCAAGAACAGATGACTGGATAAAGAAACTATGGTATATCTATACAGTGGAATACTATGCAACTGTTAGGAAAAATGAAGTCATGAAATTTGCTTATAAATGGATGGACATGGAGAGTATCATACTGGTGTAATGAGTCAGAATGATAGTGACAGATAGAGAATGACCACATTTATTTGTGGGATATAAAAAAATAGTATGAGATCAATATCCAGGCCAGGGCAAAAAGGATTCAGGAGCATTGGTCAATGGTTGGAAGCTTGCCACTGTGTGTGGAGAGTGAAGGGCAGTTAGAATAAAGAAGGGACCAGTATGACAATAATAGTTGGAAATGATCACTCTGGATAATAACTGAATGTTGAAAGTAGGTAAAGGAATATACATGACAGAAACTTTCAGTATCTATATTTCAAAGCATAATGAACAAAAGGAAATAGAGAGGTGGGGATGGGGGAGGGGTAGGTGGGCAGAGAAGAAAAGTGCCTGCCATAGAGGCAGGCAGAGGCTGAGGGGATGGGAGGGAAACGGGACATTGCTGGATAGAACTGTAAACTGGTGAAGGGGTGGGTGTTGGATAAAAATAAATAAAGATAAATAAAAGACATATAGAAAACAAAAAAAAATCTATGACAAAAATGAGGTAGGCAGCTTTAGATTTGGAATGGGGGATTTATAGCAACAGATCTAAGAATAAGAAAAACACTGGTTTTTTTTTGGTTTTTTTTTTCTTTTTGTGTCACACCTGGCAGTGCACAGCGGTTATTCCTGACTCTGCACTCAGGAATTATTCCTAGCGGCGCTCAGGGAACCATATGGGATGCTGGGAATCGAACTTAGGTCAGCCACGTGCAAGGCAAATGCCCTAACCACTGTGCTATTGCTCCAGCCCTGTTTCTTTTCTTTTCTTTTCTTTTCTTTTCTTTTCTTTTCTTTTCTTCTCTTTTCTCTTTCTCTCTCTTTCTTTCTTTCTCTCTCTTTCTTTCTTTCTCTCTCTTTCTTTCTCTCTCTTTCTTCCTTTCTCTCTCTCTTTCTTCCTTTCTCTCTCTTTCTTTCTTCCTTTCTCTCTCTTCCTTTCTCTCTCTTTCTTTCTTTCTCTCTCTTTCTTTCTCTCTCTCTCTTTCTCTTTCTTTCTCTCTCTTTCTTTCTCTCTCTCTTTCTTTCTCTCTCTCTTTCTTTCTCTCTCTCTTTCTTTCTCTCTCTCTTTCTCTCTCTCTCTTTCTTTCTCTCTCTCTTTCTTTCTCTCTCTCTTTCTCTCTCTTTCTCTCTTTCTCTCTTTCTCTCTTTCTTTCTTTCTCTCTTTCTTTCTTTCTTTCTTTCTTTCTTTCTTTCTTTCTTTCTTTCTTTCTTTCTTTCTTTCTCCTTCTTTATGGTTCACACTTTGCAATGCTCGGGGGTTTCTCCTGGCTCTGCACTCAGGAATTACTCCTGGCAGTGCTTGGGATGTCGGGGATTGAACCTGGGTTGGCCATGTGCAAGGCAAAAGTTCTCTCCTCTGTGCTATTACTCCGGCCTGCACTATTTTTTTTTACTGGTATATATGAGCTGGTAGAATTGAATACAAAGTTGGCATAATTTCAGGTATCAGAGGTTAAAATTTTGTTGGTGACTTTTACGTAAGCTGAAGATGTGTCAACCAGCTACTTCCAAAGTCAACTTCTAAAGCTAAAGTTGTATCACTCCTGAGTATGACATAGGAGAAAAGGCACTTGCCTTGCGTGCAGCCTATTAGTTGTGACCCTGGTTTATACCACATATGGGACACTGAGCACCTGCGGGGGTCAGGTTTAGCACAGAGCCAGTAATGACCACTGAGCACCATCGGTGTGACCCCACCCTCATCAACCTCTCCCCCCTCTAAAATAAAATGTCTGTCACTGAGGTTAGGACAATAAGGTAAATGATAAGACACACTATCTTGAGGACCTTTTATTAAAACAAAAAAAATCTGGTGGTGGTGATGGGGTGTCACACTTGGCAGTGCTCAAGGCTTATTCCTAGCTCTGTGCTCAGGGATCACTTCTAGTGGGACTTGGAGGACCATAGGGGATGCCAGGAATTGAACTCAGGCCGTCAACATGCAAGGCACACACGCTATCCATTGTACTCTTGTTCTAGCCCTGAATACTATTTTAATTTAGAGAAACCAAATACAATTGGCTCTTACTTAATACCAGTAAGAGGGGCTTTCACTGCTCGAAGAAATAAAATAACAAGAAAAGCAGCCAGTAGGGCAGGGGAAATAGCTCAAGTGGCAGAGGCTGTGCCTAGCCTGCTTGAGGCGCCAACTACCATGCAAGGTACGATGGGCCCCTAGTGCAGTGGTGCCAATGGTGTAGCCCTGATGCCTCCTGGTCTACTCCCAGCACCTCTCGGCCCATATTAGGTGCCAACTCAACTGGGGATGGCCCTGGGCCGCCAATTACCAAGCACAGTGGCCCTTACAAAAAGAAAGAAAAGCAGCAACCACAATTAACTGCTAATATTGATCGAGCATTTACAAAGTGACAGCTATTATGCTCATGAGGTCCCATGTATTCTCTCTATTAATTTCACAAAAATTCTGTCAGAGGTCATAAAACAGTTGAGCTCTTATGCAGAATCTTTCAGTTTGTTTTCTGAGGTAGAAGGTAAGGAGATCTCTGATCATCTGTATACATGGAATTCTTATTCCTGACTGGTAGCAAAAGTAAAATATTTCTCATAATTTCAGCTTTTGTTCCTATATCTGGTTAAAATTTAGAAATGTGGAATTTGGTGAGAAGGCATAAAATCAAATTTTCATCATTTTAAAACAAAGTTAAGGCAAATAATTTTTTTTTTCTTTTTGGGTCACACCCGGCGGTGCTCAGGGGTTACTCCTGGCAGTGCTCGGGGGACCATATGGGATGCTGGGAATCGAACCCGGGTCGGCCATGTTGGCTGCGTGCAAGGCAAACGCCCTACCAGCTGTGCTATTGCTCCAGCCCCCAAGGCAAATAAATTTAAGTAAATTAATTTTCCTGGTTAAGAGATGAGAGATTTGACTCATGGCATGGAGAAAGAAAGAAATCTCAGTTTTCTACATAGCCTGAATAACTACCTCCCAATCAAAGTTCAACATCAAATATTTGCATGAGAATAATAATTATGGTTTACTTAGAATTTTTCTTTTTTTATTAGGATTTTTATTGGCAAAGACATTAGTGATTTATAGTGACTTTTTAATAAAATTTGTTATCATTTGCTTTTGCATTTTGAATAGTCTGAGACCCAAAAAACTAAAGTCAAAATAGGACAAACAAAATTTGTCTCTTGCAAATATTCCAAAAAGTGTAAAGAATTCTAAGGAAAGAGATGCTAATGAAGACAAAGTCAAAGATATCTTTAAAAAGATGATATTTAAGGTGTTGTTTAATATATCTCATTAAAGATAGATCCAGGAAGGAGAACTCAAAGTTCTAAGTAATGCACACAAAGGTATACTGACTATTCAATGCAGTAAACTATTCAATGCAGTAATCCAAAATATTTTGAGTCTTTGTTATGTAAGTGATATGTGTCTTCATATATTATTCCTTTACTCATATAAGCCATAGAAAAATCAACAATATCTGATCCCCATGATTAAAAAAAAAGCAAAAAAATCTTTCCTAAAAAAATGCTCAGGGGCTGGAGAGATAGCACAGTGGGTAGGGCGTTTGCCTTGCATGCGGCCGACCCGGGTTCGATTCCCAGCATCCCGTATGGTCCCCTGAGCACCGCCAGGAGTAACTCCTGAGTGCAGAGCCAGGAGTAACCCCTGTTCATTGCCAGGTGTGACCCAAATAGCAAAAAAAAAAAAAAAAAAAAAAATTAAAAAATGCTTACAAAAAAAACTTATTTATTAGGAGTGAAAAGAAAAAAGCTATCTGTTTTTTAACACTATCACGATAAAATAATGCAGTTAACATTATCAGGGGCATTATGTGCAAATTGTTAAGTCTTATTTGATGTGCTGTGGGAAGATGCTTCGGAGCAGTATCCATACATTTCTCTGGGTGTCCAGGCACAGGACAGTCTCAGAATCAAGGGGCCATCCCCTTTTAATGAATTAAATTTTTATGGCTACTACTGTTTCCTTAACCTAGGTCTTTAATTAGTTACGAGAGCAAAACTGATAGAATCTAAAGATAAAGGACTATTCTCTAAGACAGACATTCAGACTAAGTATAATGTTATTGCAGAAGCTTGTTTTCTTGCCTTTAACTTCTCTGGAATAGTGTCTGCTTCTGGTACTAACTGAAATTTAGTAGATAAGAGAAGCTTGGAGGGCTGGAGAGATAGCACAGCGGGTATAGCGTTTGCCTTGCACGCGGCCGACCCGGGTTCAATTCCCAGCATCCCATATGGTCCCCTGAGTACTGCCAGGAGTAACTCCTGAGTGTAGAGCCAGGAGTAATCCCTGAGCATCTCCAGGTATGACCCAAAAAGAAAAAAAGAGAGAAGCTTGGAAATGAGTAAAACTCTTATAAAAAATTAAGCAAGGAATTTTTATATATTTTCATTGAGAGAAAAATATCACGCATAACTTTCATGTAACTTACATGATTTCATATTTGGGGCATCCATTCCCAGGAGGCAAAATTTCAAACCGCTCAATATCTTGTAAGGGAATAGGAGCTGAAGTCACTTTGAGGCATTTACACTTGAAGTTTGTGTACAAGGTTTCCAGAACACCTGTATACACAAAATCAGTTATTTTCATTTCTTTTCCATTTAGTTTACAATTACAACTTACCTAATTACTAACCTTTCAGACTGTGCATTGAAATCTTTTCCAGTGGGTATTGCTAACAATATGGTCTTTTTGTTTGTTTTTTTGTTTATATATGGCTATGCCCTGCAGGGCTCAGGGCTAACTCTTAGCTCTGCACTCAGGGATCACTCTCCTAGCAGTGCTCAGAAGACCATATGGGCTGCTGGGGATTGAACCCAGGTCAGCTGCATGTAATACAAGTGCCTCAACAATATATGACTTTTGTTTGTAAATTTCTATCTCTCTTGGTTTGATTATTTTCCAATCTTTTCTTTCAAAACCTTAAAAATAAAATTAATTAAAAAATACAACGCCTAGTGACATTTTTGATAGCATTCTCAGGTGACTGTCCAAGTAATAAAAACTAGGAGCCACTGTTATAGGGCCTTGCAACTCACTTATAAGTAATGCAATCTAAAATCAACTCATCTTCACTCCAGCTTATAAAAACTGTTGTAATGTCTCAGTAATAGTAGCTCTCTGCCAGAGTGTTTACTCTAGTCCCTTCTCCACAGGCTACTTCCCCTGCCTTTATTTATTTGAGCAAATATCATAGAAGACTTTTTTTTGTCTTGGTTTAGCATGTTGGTTCTCCATATCAGATGCAAATCATAATCACACAAAACCCAATAATAAAAATGACTTTTTATTTCATGAAGCTATTAGTAATGTATCTTGAGCATGTTAGCGGACACCCTCTTTAAACTCATAGTCAATTGTCTCCCCGTGCTTGACAGCACACCAAAGATCCCAGCTCTCGAGGCGTTTGCAATTTAGTAGAGCAAAGGAACAAAAGCTAAAATACCACAAAATGTTATTATTCACCCAACACTCATACTACAATTACATAATGAAACAGAGGACTTTGCCTGAGGCAATACAAAAACTTTCCAGAGGATGGTAGATGAAGGCTTTGAAGGATGAAAATAAACAAATAAGGAAAAATAAAAATTGAAAACAATGTTATGCATTTTCAGGACAAAAACTTGTCTTCTACACATGAGCAGAGCATGCTCTTCAGTCTATAAACCCAATTCCTTTACATGTATAAAAATGTACCACATCAACTAGTTATTTTTTACACAAAGACGGCCTGTCCTTCCAAATTTGGATTTGGAAGTCTGCTTATTTGCACAAGATGTGCATGAAGTATCTGCTGTACTTACAATGATTCAGTCAGACCTAATCATAGAATATTGGCTCAAATGTTCTCTTCAAGAGACCAGCTGGTTGAAGTTATAAAATCATTAAGCCCTACAAAGGATTTGGTTAGAAGAGGTAGACTTGAAATGCAGAATAAAGATCTGTATGGAAAGAATTTTCTATCGCCTAGCTGAATCCTGAAAAGGCAAGAATAGACAACTCAAATACAAATCCCCTGGGCTTCCGCTATCTCTTTCTATGCATAGTAAACTGAACAGTCTAAATATTTCTAATTTCTAAGTACCTTACTTGAGGAATCTAGTAACAACTGAGCAGTTTTTGCCCGTTAGCCATATCACTTCCCATTTTAGAAGAGAAAAAAAAATTGCAGTCACTGAAGACCATTTCAGTTCAGATGAAAATAACAACATAAGTGAAAGTTCTCACCATGGGCTGGAGGAAGATTGCTCACCAACAGCAAGAGTAGCAGAAATCCGGGGGTGCACCTCATTCTGCCTGAAGGTGGAGTGCAGATTTCAGCTCTGAGTCTAAGCTGGGTTCTCAGCACAGAAATTCTTCTTTATTTATGCGGCCAGTCTAGCTCCTCCTACTGCCTTTGTCTGCAGCAGGTCAGTTGGATTATTAGTTTGAAACATATTCCCCCCCAATATTGCTGAGCTAGCCTATTTTGAATTCTTGTGATTTTTAATGAATTTGCTTCAGAGCACTAGTAACATGGGCAGTATTTCTTTTTCTTTTTTTATTTTAATGAATCACTGTGAGAGACAGTTCCAGGTTTATAAACTTTCGTGATTATGTTTCAATCAAACAATGTTTGAGTACCCATCCCTCCACCAGTGCCCATTCTCTACCACCAATGTTCCCAGTATCCCTCCTTCCATCCCCATCCCTTCCCACCCCCTGCCTCTGTGGCAGGCACATTCTCTCTCTCTCTCTCTCTCTCTCTCTCTCTCTCTCTCTCTCTCTCTCTCTCTCTCCTTTTGGGTGTTATGGTTTGCAATATAAGTACTAAGCAGTCATCACACGTTTGGTCCATAGTCTATTTTCAGCATACATCTCCCAACCTTCAACCATCGTTTACTTTGTGGTCCCTTCTCCATCCCACCAGCCTTTTCCCCTCAGCATATAAGATCAGCTTCCAAGCCATGGAGCAATCCAGAACAGTATTTCTTGAAAATGTATCAGTGGCAGGGATGCTGCAGGAAGGTGAGGTGGGAAGGAAGGGAAAAGAAAGCCGTTCGGAGACAGCACAGTACTGTCTGATCACTGTTAGGGATTGTGACTTTCCTATTTGTTTCAGTGAGGAATCAGCGGACTTTCTCAACGGCGTTTGAATATATGCTCCATGCAATTAGGGATCCTGCCAGGTACACTGTACCCCAGCATCTGCAAGAGAGCCCAATAAGGAGACATTCATTAATAAAGAGGCATTTCTTGGAGACAGACCTAACGAATGCCTCTTTCTATACAGACCTCTCTGCTGGCCAGGTTACTGTTTTCCTACTCTCCCCCCCCCCCCATCTCCTGTTTTACTCTCTAAAATACATAGTTCCTGGGGCTGGAGAGATAGCATAGTGAGTAGGGCGTTTGCCTTGCACGCGGCCAACCCGGGTTCGATTCCCAGCATCCCAGATGGTCCCCTGAGCACCGCCAGGAGTAACTCCTGAGTGCAGAGCCAGGAGTAACCCCTGTGCATTGCCGGGTGTGACCCAAAAAGCAAAATAATAATAATAATAATAATAATAATAAATAAAATAAAATACATAGTTCCTGATCTCATTTGGAAACAGGAATATGTATCCCCTAATGGCTGCATCTGTGCCTTAAATAAGGGAGCGACATAATGAATTTGATAAAGAGAATCTTTCCAGTTTGGTGTCTTAGGGAGGAGTATCTTCAGAATTTTATCAGATGCTGAACCACACATTACAATTTGTTTACGAAGGCAGATGTGCAGCTTGGTTTTTTATTCAACTCAATAGGCTGAGGAGACAGTTAGCCCATCGCCTTCTTTTGTTAAGTTTGTGGGCAGTGAGTATCGGATAATCAGGCCTCATACTGACTGCTTTAGGCATATAAGTGAGTATGAATGGAGCAAATCAAACTGACTGCATCTGCAGAACATTTAATGGATCTGTTGCCTTACTTTGACTTCCCAAACCATTTGATTTTTGCTGTTAAATTAACCTTGTGGAGGTTTTGCATCTCAGATATTCTGGTGTGGCTGGGGATGGGGTGACGATTTGGGGGGATCTCACATAACTTTCATCTACCAGCTGACCCCAAAGTATGCAGTGCCTGGGACGTCATCATTGCACGGCGTGCTCCTTGGGTTGATTTTGCAGTTGGAGCTAGTGGAAAGTCCTTTCTTATGTATATATAACAGTTGCTTTCCTCATAATTCAGTTACTATGCTTACTGCAGGAAAACACTTCCAAACGCTGTTTTGTTTGATACACTCTGTCCTCCAAATAATTGAGGACAGGCGGAGCAGCTGGGTCTCTCGGGGTAGTAGATACTGAAGTGGAGTAAAAGAAGTTTTTTCCAGAATCACTCCTGTAATAGGTGAAAGCAGAAAGGGGCAGAGGGTTGGCGAGATAGAGCCTGAGACTGTGCCGATGATCTCATACAATCTATGACAACTCCAGAGAGCTCCAGAAAAAAAAAGACTATTAGAAGAGTCCCACAATAAGCAGAAATATCCAAGCCCCACTGTCTTGCCTTCTTCCGTCAACGTCCGAGGACTCAAAAATAACATGGTCTTTGGTAGAATGCCAGAGAGACTCTGAGAATTAACAGCTGAAGGTTGTCCGCTAACTGCACCCGAAGCTGGACAGAAGTTATTTCTTTAAGGAACATGCAAGCAATGAACTTCTGTAACTATCACACGGGATAATAGACTAGGGTTAAGAACACAAACTATGGAATGACCAGGTCAATGACTTTGGGCAGATCAGTTAATTGGTCTATGCTTCATTTTTACTGGTTTTGTGGTGGGGATTATACTAAATGTAGAGGATTAATGGGAACAAGTAACCAAAGCATATTTGTAGAGTTCTTAACACAGTTCTTACTGACACATTGGCAATTTATCTGTTTCACATTAGTGTATCTGCATCCATCCTTTCTTCATCATCTATCCATTTATTAGTAGGTCTTAATAATGTCTACTAAAATGTCAGCATGTACAAATTTCAAATCTTGTTCTTTTAATGTATAGCACCATTTGAACCCTTTTAAATTCTTTCTAATTACCTTTTAAAAAATTACCTGGTTTATCTTTGGAGGACTGTTGAGTTTTTCTACTTATTCTAAATTACATCTAGCCTTCCTTCTGCCTCTCCCAAACCTTCTCTGATACACACACACACACTTACATGCACAAATATCTGATTGCCTTATTATCCCAAATTTAGTTTTGTCAATATAAAGCAGGGGGTAACATATTATCTTCTTTGTCATAGACAATATACTTCTGTTGGTATATTCCTAAACTGACCAATTTTATTCTGGTCTGGTCATTTATATTGAGTTGCTGAGCAAAATTTGTTTCTTTTGAAAATCGTCAATTCTGTCTACAGCATGTGGAAGACTGATAAAGAAAGTCTTTTAGGCTTTGGCATCCAGAATGTATATACTCACTTGACAGAAAAACAGGAACGGAAGCGTACATCAATCCAGAATGCAGCCAATCATTTACTTTTTTAGTTCTTGCAACAATCAATTGATTGTGTATTTTACTGATTGTTTGACTACTTTATTGATTATTTGGCTACTTTATTGATTGTTTGACTATTCTTGGTTTAACTACTTTGTACTTTGTGTAACTGCTTTATAATTTTGCTTAACCACTTTACTCTTTAACTACCTTGTTCTTTAAATATTTAATTCAGTGTTTTACTGCTTGGTTTTAATTTCTGTTTGACTATTGTTTAAATATTTTTATTTTTGGCTTCTGTCTTAATCCATGGATTGTTTAGCTAGCTGCTTGTTTTGCTTCTGTAAACTTGTTTGCTTACTGAGTGAAATTCCAGAATGTGGTGTGGCCCTTTAAAAGACCGTTGCTTCTATTCTCAGGGCTGCCTGTTTCACCCAGGCTGGGCTGGAGAGAGCTATTGCTGGCCAGCTAATAAAACTTCCTTGATTTTGTGGAATATTTTGGGGGTGTCTGCCTATAACACGCCATACTTTTCCCTTGTGAAATTTGATTGTGGCATCTGTATATAGCATCCTTCGTTCGAGCAAAGGTGAGTGGCCTGAACACTAACTGAAGAGCACAGGGACAAAGGTAACTGAAATAGTATTCTGTTGGAAAAGATCTAGTAAATCCCACAGTTCACACTGCTAAGCTAGGACTAGAGTCAAGTAGTTATTTCCTGAGAATTCTGAATCTTAATTTTAGTCCTTTTAGTGCCCAGAGTTCTGAATTTTGCTTAAGTGGACCCAAAAAACCTTTTAATCTTGTCTACCCTATGATGGTCTTTGAAATTGGGCCCTTCTCTGGAAACAAATGATTCTAGAAGTTTCAAGTGAGACTTTTCAAGATGTCATTTACATCTGGTGAATAAATTTTTAAGACTTTAAAGTAAAGAAGAAAGTGTTTTGAACATATAGAATTGGGATACAAATGGAAGTGTACTTTTTTAAAATGTTTCCAAACAAAGATATCACTGAAGCTACATTTGATGACCATATACACAAAACAGGGAAATTCTAAAAAAAATGGGAAAAAAATCTTTCTCCCACCTTTGGAATCAAACCAGGTTTTCTCTTAGATTCAAGGTAAATTGGATAGTTTAGGACTTTGGTGCTCAAATTTTGGTCTATGAGCCAGCAAGTGAAACTTAGATGACAACAATGCAGAACCTAGACCCTACATTTTAACAAGAATACAAGATAATATTTAAGGCACCTTTAAATCTAAGATACAATTTGTCTAGTATAGGATGAGCCATATGCATTTTCAGCTGGTTTCAGAGAAAGAATTGGGTCATTCTAGCGTCTAGCATACTTGTCCCAGGTTAGCACAAACATGATCACTGACAGTTAAATGTAGAGTTAAACAAGACAGAAATTCTCTCTCCAGACAATTAAAAAGTAAAAAAGTAGAGAGATGTCATAACTGAGAAGAGAACCTACCTTTCTGAATATCCTAACTACTCAATAACTATGGGACAAAGGGATCAGGGTAAAGCTTAAAATGATTAAAACATGCAAAAATTCTTATAATTTTAAGTAGTTTTTAATATAGCAGGAGACAAGCAAATGCCAGAGTGATCAGTTGATCATAGTTTCTTTTATGCCATCTTAAAAGCAACTCAAATAGAGAATAGCAACTTACAAATGTTTTAATCCACTGCTTACAGGAATTCGTCTCCCTTTCAGCCAACAGAGAAGTATTAGAACTTAGTGGACAAGAGCTAAGGTTCTGCTTCAGATTGTCTGGGTTTGCATTCTCACTCCAACACTTTCCTGTCTTATTCTCATGCCCAGATTCGCTTCTGTATGTGTCAGTGGGA